CTCGCGGATGAGGACCGTTGATTGATTTTTTCAGATCGACCCCCAGTGCCAACCTCATTACGTGGCCACCGAGCCCCTGCTTCGACACCATTATTATACATGAAGATCGGCCTCATCCCCGCTCCTCGTGGATGAGGACTGTTGATTGATTCTTTCAAATCAGATCCCATTGCCGACATCATTTCGTGGCCACCGACCCCTTGGTACGGTGCCATTGTCATATTTGAAGACCGGCCTCATCCCCGCTCCTCGGGGATGAGGATAGTTGATTGATTCTTTCAGATCGGACCCCCCGTGCCGACATCATTTCGTGGCCACCAACCCCCTGGTACGGTGCCATTATCATATTTGAAGACCAGCCTCATCCCCGCTCCTCGCGGATGAGGACCATTGATTGATTCTCAGAGATCGGCCTCTATGCCGACATCATCATATGGTCACCGGACCCTTGGTATGGTGTCATCATCATATTCGAAGACCGGCCTTGTCCCCGCTCCTCGCGGGTGAAGACCGTTGATTTATTCTTTTAGATCGGCCCCAGCGCCGATACCTTTATATAGCCACCGACCCCCTAGTACGGTGCCATCATCATATTCAAAGACCCCTCAAATATATATATATATATAAAGGGGCACCGGGGAATCCTCAAAAGGATAAACCCGTTTCCCATCAAAATCGCGGCCTAGCTCAGCTCAGGATCCAAAGGACCGAGCCTAAGAGCGGGTACGACGAGCGTATAGGCGGAACGAAGAATTGGGAAATCCCAAAGGGGACAAACCCGTTTCCCATTAAAATCAAGGTCGAGCTCAGCTCAAGATCCAAAGGACCGGGCCCAAGAGCAGGTACGACGAGCAGGTGGCGAAACGAAGAAAAATCCCCAAAAAATATACATATAAAGGGCTGGGGAATCCTCAAAGGGGATAAACCCGTTCCTCACCGACTATGACGACCCAGCTCTGCTCAGGATCCAAAGGACCAGGCTATAGGGCGGATACGGCGAGCAGATGACGGAGCAAAGAACCAGGGAATCCCCAAAGGGGATAAACATGTTCCTCACCGACAACGATGACCAAGCTCAGCTCAGGATCCAAAGGAACGGGCTATAGGGTGGATACGGCGAGCGGATGACAGAGCAAAGAACCAGGGAATTCCCAAAGGGGATAAACCTGTTCCTCACCGACTAGGTTGACCCAGCTCAGCTCAGGATCCAAAGGATCGGGCTATAGGGCGGATACGGCGAGCGGATGACGGAGCAAAGAACCAGGGAATCCCCAAAGGGGATAAACCCGTTCCTCACTGACTACGACGACCCAGCTCAGCTCGAGATCCAAAGGACCGGGATAAAGGGCGGATACGGCGAGCGGATGATGGAGCAAAGAACCGGGGAATCCCCAAAGCGGATAAACCCATTCCTCACCAACTACGATGACCCAGCTCAGCTCAGGATCCAAAGGACCGGGCTATAGGGCGGATACGGCGAGTAGATGACGGAGAAAAGAACCAGGGAATCCCCTGTCTTATGCAGCACGAGCGGCCCCTCAATGCCATCGTGCCTAGTTCACTGTCGGCTCGCCCATACCTTCTTGGATGGCGACCACCGTCTTATGCAGCACCATCGACCCCTCAACGCAATCGTGTCCAATTCATGGTCGGCTCGCCCATTGCTTGTTGTGTGGAGACCATCGTCTTATGCAGCATGATCAGCTCCTCAGCGCCATCGTGTCCAGTTCACGGTCAGCTCGTCCATTCCTTCTTGGATGGCGACCACCGTCTTATTATGCATCACGATCGGCCCCTCAGCGCCTTCGTGTCCTGTTCACGGTCGGCCCATCCGTTCCTTCTTGGATAGCGACCATCGTCTTATGCAGCATGATCGACCCCTCAGCGCCATCGTGTCCAGTTCACGGTCGGCTCGTCCATTCCTTCTTGGATGGTGACCACCGTCTTATGCAGCATGATCGGCCCCTCAGCGCCATCGTGTCCAATTCATGGCCGGCTCTCCTATTCCTTCTAGGATGGCGGCCACCGTCTTATGCAGCACGATTGGCCCCTCGGCGCCATCGTGTCCAGTTCACTGTCGGCATGTCCATTCCTTCCAGGATGGCGACCATGGTCTTATGCAGCACGATCGACCCCTTAGTGCCATCATGTCTAGATCATATTTGGGATCACTATTCCTTTATAGGATGGGACCCGTCACTGTATATCATGCCTAACACACCCTCTTTCATACATTGCACTCTTACATTACATGCATTCACACATTCATGCATCACATCTCATATATTCATACATACACACTTGCATTGGGTTCGTCTTGCCCATATTTTTCGAGCTAGCTTGGTTCAGGTCTCTTTAGGTCCTCGGGTAGCAAATCCAAGTTGTAGTCCTTTACTCCTGCCTGATACATTCAGGGGGAGAGGGTCCGAGAAAGAGCGTCCCTTGCCCAATCCAGTCGGGAGGGGGAGCGCCTTCCCGACATATAATGTTCAGAGGGGCAGACACCCACCCATGCAGTAGGATTGCTCGAAGACTCAGGTTCAAGGAAGACAAAGGAAGAGCGCGAGCAAGAATATACTTTCTCGAGCAGATTCGGACGCTCACTACTCAAGAAACTGAGGGACTTGTGTTGAGATATATTACCCCGACCTACCACTGTACATGAGCCCAAGATATTATTTGGTACGGAGCCCAATCAGTGAGGCCTGTTTCGGCCCGTTTTTGGCCATCCGACCCACCTTGGCCCAACAAGCCCATCTTGGCCGCTTGGCCCATTAGGGTGGAGCACTCCTCCCCCTTTCCTCTATAAATAGGAGGACTCCCCTCCTTATTAGAGGATCCCCCTTTCTTCCCCCTGCTCTCTAGCTAGTTTTATACTCCATTAATGGGAGCTTGTACAATGTAAGGAGAAGGAGAGCATTAATAAAATGAGAGGGCTTGGACATTAGCCTAAACAGTCCCGTGGTTTTCTCCATTTCCGAGTTTCCACGTAAAAATAGCTTGTTCATACATATTTATATCTATATTTATTATATCGTGTTTGATTAAACTCAACACACAACAACATAAGAAGAATCAAGTTGAATCATGACCCTATCAAAGAATCTCAGACGAGTCTAGGCCTACTGATGAGAAACATATGTCGTTATCAATTACGCCAAGATCTTCTAACAGGTCAACAAGAATCCAATCATGGGTTCCACAAGTGTGGTGACTGTATTTATGACCTCATAGACAAGGTTTTAGTTCGGGTAGATTTTGATCTCAACTGGTCCTATAAATAAAATAACGAGGCCCACAATGAGATTTATATTTTTGGTTTCGATTCACCCGCCTGTCTCAATTTTTTCTTTTTTTATACTTTTTAAATTGAATTGCTTCCCAATGGTTTAATGTAAAAAACCGAAGTTGGGCCAAATCATCTGGTCCCAAAAGTGAGGCTTGAGACAGGCTCCCCTTTACGTGCCCCAGTCTCGGTCCTGCACCTGAACCTGAAAATCAGCAGTCCTGTCTGCTTTGATTCCAAGACCGGGCCTTGTCTACCGCTAATATGACGATACGTAAATAGGATAGTCATAAAATCAGATATATTTGGGGGAAGTGCGGTCGGAGGTCACCTAATGCTCGTCCATTTCCATGAAAATGTTTATGTACCTGATAGTACTATGGATTACAACCATGGCCCAAGACTGAACTAAAGTAAAGCCCATCAACGGGATCAGCCCATTAATCGGGATTAATAATAAATAATAACTGATGGGCCTAGGAATCCAACCCGTGAACCAACAACTAGGTCGGACTGGACAGCAGATCTCGAGCCTAGGCGGAGTTCTAGCAAGGTTGGACTCTTCCTAGGGCTTATGTGGCAGGCTATTGTTCGTGCATACCTATCTGGCAGTGGCAGGAAGTAACGGAAGAAACGTGGACCTGAAGGAAAGAATCATTGCACAACGTTCGGGACGTTACATGACTCTACCTATTCTAATTAATTGCATTAAATGTATCAGTTTCCTCCTAGAATACTAGAACCTAAGGTCTATAAATACTTCTTGTACATATCCTACCAAGAATCCGAATTCCGGAATAATAATACTGCCTTACGCTACCTAAATTTCTTATGCTCTTGAAGATTAGCCCTCGTAGTTGGAGTAAAAACTCCATCATTTGGTGCTCTCGTTGAGAGCGATTTGTGAAGACGATGGATGGATCACACAGTCACAACCGTGTTGGCAACAATCAAGGTGGTGCTCGATCAATTCCTGACGCCAGCCACCATGAATATCATTCCCAACATGGATCCAACGCAAGCCTTGGCGACTTTGGCGACATTCCAAAGGGCTGTGGAGACATTGACCACCTCCTTCCAAGGAATTGTTCCCAACACCTACGAAATCAATGAACATCGGCATGCCCGTGGAGATCGCGCTTCCCCACCTCCTGTCCAGACCGACCAGGATAACGACAATCTCAGAAGGTGACTGGACGAGCTCACGAGGGCGGTGGATGGAAGGGTTAACCTCAATCATGATGTGAGGATTCCCGAGCCGTTCATCCGTCAAATCATGGATGCTCCACTGTCGCAGGGGTACAAGCCTTGCAACATTGAGGCCTACCGAGGGGAGACCGATCCCCAGCACCATGTCTCTAGGTACATGGCCTATATGGTGATGATGAGACACAATGATACAATCAGGTGCATAGGATTTCAGCCCGCCCGACCCGCCCAAACGGGCTAAAAGCCCGGAACCGGCCAACCGGTCCCAATCCGGTTCCGCACAGTAGCAGGCCAGGCTGGTTCCGGGCCGAGCCGGCCCGGTTTAATCCATCCCTAACACCAATGCAGATAGAAGAAGAAATTTATCAAATTTTGGCTGAAGTGGCTGTATTGGTTGATTCGACTGATTTATGAAAAAAAATTAATATGTATTTTATTAATAAAGGAAAAATTATATGGAAAAAAGGTAAAATGATAATCTACCGTATCTTCGAGCCTCAGCCAATACAGCTAGAAAAGTAACTTCAACTTTACTTTTTCTTATTATTACAGAATTTAACGCACAAAATCAAAACTTATGTGTTTGGTTAAAAAGTTGATCGATAAGCCTGACAAACAGAAAAATAGAGTCACCAAACGGCCTCTAAGACATTTATACAGCCAGAGGGACGGAGGATATCACTTTTAGTCACACTACAATCTTTTTCACAATTTCTTTGAAAAAGGTGTATAGTACAATCTCCTAAAAGAATTAAGACGAGCTTTTCAGAGCAATTGCTGGGGGACTAAGAAGAGTCCAGGTTTTCTTTTAAAACCTCAGCTTCAGCTTGTGCCATGGGATCATCCTTGATGACAGCATCTCCATCCTCCTTTTCACCTTCTCTTTCCTCTGCCATCTTTTTCCTGTGTAATTCCTCTGCAGCCTTCATATCAGCCCTATTCTCTGCTTGGAGTTTCTGCATTTCCTCTTCTTGCTGTTGTCTCTCAAACCATGTGTCCGCCTCCGCCCATACTGAAGTCATTATCATAGCATTATCATTTTGGGGTACATTGACAAAGTTATATAACATCATGATAACAGTAGAATAAGTTCAAGAATTTCAGAGATCTTTATGCGCATCTTCAAAATATTAAAGGGGATACTCCATTCACAAGTACAATATAAAATTTGCTTTGGGGATAGGTAAAAGTATGAAAAGAAGTTCAGATTGCACAAGCAATAGCCTGAATAATTTGAATCATCAACTGATCAATAAGACTTGTAAATTTGAGATAACTAGGCTTTACTCATGATGGAATATCCTACTTGGTGAAAAAGACTTGGTTTGGTTTTGGTGTTGCGATTTTGGTCTAGGTTTTGTGAATTGTTTGGATAGAAAACAAGCTGAAAGATATTAACTTTTAAATAAAATGTGAACAAATGAAGCCATCATCAAATCCCTACTAGGATGGGAAAGAACTAGCTAAATATGTTTAGATGTCATTCCTTGGTGTGAACTTGCTTAGACTAATACAATCCAATCCACCACTTGAAAGATGAGCCAGCCAACTTAATATCTCAATGTCAACCATCGAAAAAGAATTACTTTCTTCAGGGCCAAAAGGCAAAAGAAAAACAAAAATAGCAAGATACTACCCCCACACAGGCCTGCACCACTTGGGCTTACGGTCATGCAAATAAGATAACATGATTTAACCTTGTCTGGTTTGGAGTTAATCACATTAACGTTACCACCACACTTTTTTTTAAAGTAAAAGAGAGGTGAGAGTCACGAGACCTCAATTTCTTTAGGTATTATAATTACAATATTATTATGATGGCAATATTTTAGACTAACCATAGTTAGTCCTTGGCAATTTAATAAAATAAGTAATATAACGTTCTGCTAAATCTCATATCTGTGATCTACATTCCCTTCTGGTGAAGAGGAGTTTCATATTGATCTATGTTATGTATAACATACCAATTAGCTAGTGTTCTGGGTCATCTCACGAGATCCTGCTCTTTTTATCTAAAAGAGATCTTATTTTATATTTTGGCATTTCCATGTTTCTCATCTTGAAAATTCTTCAAGACCAATAACCATTAAAAACTAGATAATCAAAGACTATTAAAAAACGCTTCATGCTAGCTATCACTGTGTGATCCAGGCCTAGGTTTAATAATGACATTTATTTGACAAAAAATTAAACGAGAGAAGTAGGAAAGATAGAAGATGCTTACTGGGCTGGGCAGCCCAACCCTGTTCACCACCCTTGATGCGTTCAGGGAGAGCGTAATTGACGGTGAGAACTCGGCCGTAGAGCTCCGCGCCGTCCATATTGTCCATGGCAGCGGAAGCATCTTCCCTCTCAAGAAAAGTGACAAATCCGAAAGAACGGTGCTTCTGTGTGGCTTGGTCCAATGGAGTCTTCACATCCTTGATGTCTCCGAAGGGTATGAAGGCAGCGTGGAGTATCGCCTCGTTCACTTCCTCCGCCAATCCACCTGCAAATCATAATGTACTGAGTTCATTCTCGGATAATAAGAGGATGAATCGAATACGAATGTGCGAAGTAGAGGATAGTGAGACGAGGAAACTTACCTACGTAGAGAGTGTTCTTCTGCACCGCCTGATTCATTGCTCTGACTCTCACCCCCTTTCTGCCCTGTTTCTCGCTGTTTCGTAGCGTTGAACAAGGCCCAATATGGCAGGCCCGGCCAAGGCGGCAAGGCCAAGTAGGATTTCTTATTTGGACAAAAAAGGCTTATATTATACCCCGTAGTATCAAAAAACGCGCAAGGCCCAACAGGATATATTTCATTCACACATAAACAAAACAAATCAGATAAGAACATGAAAAATGACCCTAATATTAGTCTTAGTGTGGTCATGAACATAAATATGACTGTTTTTATTTTGAACAAAAAGTGATTAAATGATAATTAATTCTCTGGTCTAAGGATGTTTTTTACTTGGATTGTAATTTGGTGGTTTGATTTGGTCTAAATTGTTCTCGTCTGGTTTCTTTGTATTTTTATAACTATCCAAGACTGGTCTGATCTGAACTGGTGTGATCTGATCTGGGAGGAATTACGGTCCTAAAAACATCCTAAATAACACAACTCACGACCAATCCGAATAACAACTCACCCCATCGTGCTTAATATACTCATCTTCTCAAGCAGCAGCAACATAGGAGCACCAGATACACGACACAAGATCTGCCGCCAGCTTTGTGCACATCCCGTCGTCTCTGCCGCCCTATTGCCACACACCAGCCACAGGTGTCATCCCTCCCATCGCGAATCCTGCCCCTTCTCATCTTCTTCTCTTTTTGTGGTGTGTGGTTGGGATTCACATCACCGACGATAAACCCAGAGACTATGGAGACAACGATGGGCAAATGAGGCAGCGGCGATCGATATCGGCTTTGGGTGGCAGAGATTTTGTGAGTTGCGATGGCGCTACTTTCAACGGCTGGGGTTGGGATGCGGCGATAGGGTGTGGGGGCTTGGTAGTGGGTTGGGGCTGATGAGGTGGGCCGGTGGTCATTGGCGGTCAGCGCAGGGGCGGACCCAGAAAAGTCATTTTGGGGTGAAAATATTTTGGAGGTTCAAAATACTTTTTGGAAGAACAAAAATCATTTTTCGTATATATATACACTAAAAAATTTTTGTTGGATTAGTCACTTAGGGTAGGTCATTGTGTTGGAGTCACTGGGACATGAAGAAGGCTTGTAGGGCTTTTAAAGTCACTAGGCAAAGGGTCGACGAAGTCCCTAAACGACCCTTGTAAATTGAGTCACTAGAAAAGGTAGGGGCACAAAGTCACTAGACGATGTAAAGTGAGCGAGTCACTGTCAACGATGTCACTGTGGCGACAACGGTGATGGCGGCAGCGATGGTGATGGTGACGGCGATGGGGTTGCGGTCATAAGGGTGGTCAGAACACATTGATTAATTATTAATTTTAAAAATGGAATATTAGAATAATAAATGTAATACTCCATCCGTCCCCGAATTAAGTTCTCGGTTTGACTTCACGGGTTTTTAGGTGGATTATATTTATGTGTTGACTTTCCTAAAATGCCCTGTTGAGTTTTAGTCCCGTAGATCCAGAAGCCCAACACAACTTCGGATATTCAGGATCATAGATTCAGTATAAAAATGAATAAATATATAAAAGTGTATGAACTAGCTATTTTTACGTGGAAACGCGGAAAGGAAGAAAACCACGAGACTTTTTAAGCTAACGTCCAAGCCCGCTCTTTTTCATTAATATGCTCTCCTCACAAATTACATCATACACATAATATGGAACTCCACTAATGGAGGTTGAATCTACTTCTAAAGAAAGAAAGAGAAAAGCAAAAGCCAAAAAACAGATCTGTAATATAGCTAGTTCATACACTTTTATATATTTATTCATTTTTATACTGAATCTATGATCCTGAATATCCGAAGTTATGTTGGGCTTCCGGATCTACGGGACTAAAACTCAAGCCCTTTGAGGGTAAAAGGAAAACCCACGGTAAAAGAGCTTAGATCGAAATCTGGGATTGCTGGCCCGTCCATACGCTGCACACAAACATTGTATCGCTCCAGGGACGGAGGAGTTCATGCGGTTGTATTCCGAGAAGCTAGATCGGAGGCAGTTCAAGGAGACCACATCATTCTCTATTGGGCAGCACCGTACTACCCCAGCGGCGATCTCAACGTCCTCCGTCACTGCCAGAGCGACATCATATTTTCGTCCTCCGTCATCCGATTCTACCTAAAGAAAATCATCATCTCCCTTGAGCATCTTTCACAGACTGGGCATTTTGTGGCGATTTGAAGCCTGAGAATATCTTTAACTAGCAGTAAGGTCAGGTGCCCTTAATCGATTTCGATCTTTCTACAAGCTTGACTGTGAAAAAACTCGACCCGACCCATTTTTGCTTGAAACCTGAAACAGAAACGGGGGAGCCCTTTGTCGGTACAGAGGAGTACGTGTCGCCGGAGGTTGTCCAGGGCAAGTCCGTGGAAGGAGTATTTGGGTCCTTTATAGCTTGTACGGTGGGAGTCTTATTTCTCCGATGGGATGGGCGGCGTGGGACGGCGACTTCACGTTGAGTACACTTTACGATGGGGAGATGGGCAGCACAAATGCGGCCGACCGGAATAGCTGTTGCAAGCCATGGAACTTGAGAAAGATGGAAAAGAGAGAAGCTATTTGAGAAAGGAGAAAGAAAGATTGTACAGGGATAAGGTTTGATGGGGTGGGGCGGTGGGGGAAAGGATAAAAAGGAAAAGGACATAATAGTCTATCTACACATATATCTTACCACAAATGGAAAATAAAGGAAGTATGAACTTAATTATGTGGCATCCTGAAAAAGAAAGTGATAACTTAATTGAGGGACGGATGGAGTATTACGTAGTGACTTTAATGATATGGTAATTCATTTATTTGGAAAAGTTAAAAACAAGTCACTTTTTGCCATTTATATCTATTTTACTAATATTCATACAAAAGGCCTAAAATTGTACTCCCTCCGTCCCATAAAATAAGTCTCATTTCAATTCGGATCGGAGTTTAAGAAAGTTGGAATAAAGTGGAAATGTATGGTTGTGGTTGAGTAATAAAAAGGTAAATGAATGTTAGCCACACAAAATTTTCCAAAAAGGGAAATGGGAACAATTTTTTGGGACGGCCCAAAAAGGAAAATGGGACTTATTTTATGGGACGGAGGGAGTACAAAAAAAGATAAAACCCGAGTACCTGACATAATAAAAAAATCCAACCAAATCAGGCCGAAACAAATATATAAAAAATCACTAAAGTTGGAAGAGATGATGAAAAGAATTGGTTTCTCTTGTTCAAGTCCCACACCAAAAAATTATGGAGTAACCAGGTGATATATTAAGATCTGAGCTCCTATTTCTACTAAGTTGAGCTTTTAGGATGAAACTTCATGTCATAACATACTATTAGAGCGAAATCGATCTTTAATCATGGTGTGGGCCTTCTATAAGAAATGATGATGATTATATAAAAAATGGTGAATCGATGGAAAAAATGAATGACAGCACGATCGAGGTGAATTCCTAGTCGTGAGGAGAAGTGTTGAAGTCTCACACCGAATAAACGGAATAATTGTGAAGTAATAAAGTGTTATATTAAAATCTGAACAACCATAATCCAGCTGGATCCTAGTTTTAGACTGATCTATGTTCTTCATCTTCAAGACAAGGAACGTGTAACAAATGTAGTTTATGGACTAGCTAAGGTGTAGACCAAGGATAACTTAAGCAATCAGGTTTGCTTAAAATGTGTGCACTACTATGCCATTTCCAATGCATAAGTGTACTCCTAGGGGATTTACAATTGGATGCTTGCTTGGGCTCCTAGCATTTCATTCGCTTTGTATTTAGTTTAAACTTATATTATCTCTGTCTCGTTTAAAGATTCTCATAGTAAAATGACACGATATGTACACAACAATTAAATAAGATTGCTCGAGTATAATTTGAGAAATGATTGTGATGGATATATAATATAATGAAATTATTGATGATAACTATGATATAATAGATGTTGTTGAGGTTTATTCCCCTCAACCCGCAGGCCCAACACGCAACCTGGGGGTTTCGAATGGTGGAGGGCAAAATAAGATCACTGGACAACGGGGAGTGGGCTAATAACTGTATTTCATTCACTCCTGCTATTACAAGCCGAGGGGCCGAACGTACTAAGCTACGCTACGTGCTGTTGATGCTATTACAATACTCGAGAGTCAAAGTGCGAACCCCTTACAATGAAATAAATGCGACTATTTATAGTATCCCATGGTGGTTGGGGGGGCTGACGTGGTCGGCTGTGGGCGACATGATCCCAACCACCAAATCTCCCGCATTTAATGCGCTTCCCGCCAAGATCTTGGTTTCCCGCCATAGCGTGGGGACGTCCGTCCCCTAAACTGGACTCAGCCCTCCAGTGACAGTCTGGGCCCTTGAGTGTAGCCCACAAGATGCTCGTCCCCTGGCCCTTAGGCCCTAAAGCTTGGTCCTGCGGAGCTACGTACGTTCTCTGGCCCTTGGGTCCTGAAGCCTGGCAATGCTGGGCTACGTACGTCCCCTGGCCCTTGGGCCCTGAAGCCTGGCTATGTTGGGCTACGTACGTCCCCTGGCCCTTGGACCCTGAAGCCTGGCTATGCTGGGCTACGAACGTCCCCTGGCCCTTGGGACCTGTAGCTTGGTTATGTTGGGCTACGTACGTCCCTAGGGGTTGATGGGCCGACCCTGGTTGGCCATTAACCCAACACAAGTCCCCCACTTTTGATGTTCCGAGCGTGCGCGGGACATAAAGAAGTAGAATACCCCTGACGTATCGCCTCAAACTGTTACTCCCCTTTCCTCCAAGTGACGGTTGCTTCCCGCCGTTGTTCGCGGGGCTTTAGGTGCCAGCTATCAGGCCGGTTCAACTTTCGATGCAAAAGTAATCATTTCGTACCAGCCCATCTATACGCGACACGCGTCCCTGTATACGCTCCCTGCCACGTGTCGCCTGCGGGTTGGCCACTGATCCGGCGCCTCCCCTTATAAATACCGGGAATACGGGAAGGGTTACGGCTTTTCATCCTTTGCTTCCTCTTACCTTCCCAGTGCCGTTCAACGAATGTTTCGAGTTCCTGCGTTCATCCCTCTCCCAAGTTTTCGCAAGGTAATT